CCCTCCCTCCCTTCCTCCTTCCCTTCTCCTCCATCTCCTTCAATCTCCTCCCCTCTCCTCCCTTCCCTCCCCTCCCCTCCCCTCCCTTCCTCCTCCTCCTTTTCTCTTGGCACTGGGGATAGAAAGCAGGCTCTTGTGCATACAAATCACACTCACTCTGTCGCTGAGCTACATGACCCCCCATCCTTTGTTTACCATAAGCAGATGCATTGGGATTTCCCTAGTCTAAGTTTGCTCCCAGTCAGAAGTCTGGAGGGAAGTGTGTCATTCTATCAGTGTGGAAGACAGAGACACTTTTCCCTTGTTTCACTTCCTGAAGCACGGCCCTCTGTCGGATGACTGCTCCTCGTCCTATATCGACGGATCCACCTTCCTTCCAATTTGACTGCTCTGGCTCCTGGAACTGACCATTTCTGCTACCAAGACCCACTGGCCACAGTGACTAGTTCAGAGATTAGCTTTTGACCCAAGCTTGACTAACCAGAGGACTTTCTCTGACTCATTCTGATTAGCCAGAGTTTTGCTAACTGCCTTCTTCTAAGAGAGAGAGAAAGATGTATATAGTCTTCAGTCACAGAGATTATTCTTGAACTGATGGTGGCCAGTTTCAGGCCTCTCGGAAGAGACAGAGTGGAGATGAAAGGTAGAGAGGAGACCGAGCCAGTCTGGTCCTCAGAGCTCCCAGAGCCAGGGCCCACCCTTGCCATCCTGAAGCCTTGACTAGATGAGAATGAATCTCCCTGTTTGTGTACGTTGGATCTGATTGGACTCTGTCCATTATAGACCCATATGCCCTTAGTACCCTTGAGAAGGAGCTGGGGAAATATCACTTTCAAATTTTAAAAATATATAGTATTATTTTTTTGGAGACAGGGTCTCATTATCTTCAAGTTGGTCTCAAACTCACGCTAGGAACGAAGATGACCTTTGGACTTCTGATCCTCCTACCTCTACCTCCCAAGTGCTGAGATTACAGGTGCGCACACCACGCCCAGTCTCTGTGGTGCTGGCAACTGAACCCAGGCCTTCCTCCACACTGGACAAGCACC